TCCTTGTTATTCTTCCGGGTAGCATAGTATTCCATTGTGTGTATGTACCACAGTTTGTTTATCCATTCTTCAGTTGATGGGCACTTTTGCTATTGTAAACAGTGCTGCTATGAACATTTGTGTGCATATATCTACTTGTGTTATGGCTCATATTTCTTGTGGATAAATACCAAGTAGAGGAATTGCTGGATCATAAGGTATCTCTATTCCCAGCCTTCTGAGGAAGCGCCATATTGCTTTCCAGTCAAAGATGATTTTTTAAAAACACAATTTCAATGAATCAAAGATGCCAAAACTGTTCTTTTGAGATGGTGTAAATCAAAGAGCAAAGTATTCTTTGGGGGAGGTGTTAGAGAGATGGAAATACCACCTTCAGAAGTATGTAAGATATTTATTGAGGGTTGTCCAGAAACAATTGCTTCACATTTTGATGTTTTTGTTAAATACAGGGTTCTATGATTTTGTAGCAATACTTTTTGACCTACCCTCGTATATGTGAAAAAACATAATAAAAAAGGATAAATGAAAGTGACTGTAGTTGTGTTAGGGTTGTTGTTGTTGTTATGTTCCGTGGAGTCAGTTCCGACTCACAGCAGCCCTCTATAGGGTTTCCAAGGCTGGTAATCTTTACAGGAGCAGAAAGCCTCGTCTTTCTCTTGAGGAACAGCTGGTAGTTTCAAATTGTTAACCGTGCGATTAGCAGCCCAATTTGTAACCACTGCGCTTAGTGTGGCGCTGTGGGTTAATGCGCCAGACTGCAAAGCTATTTGAACTGCAAGGTCGGCGGTTCAAGCTCACCAGCTGCTCCTCAGCAACCCTATACAGGGTCGCTATGGATCGGAACCGACTTTATGGCACTTAACAACAACAACAGCGCTTACAGGGTTTATTTTCCTTCACTGTGAAAATGTTCTTCGATGATGTTACAACTGCTTTTTAGTTTTCAAGATTGTTTTTAAAGTGATTCGTCAAACAGGAGGAGCCATACAACCAAGCTCCTAATTCAACCTCTACCGTGAAGCCGTCTTGGAATTTAGAGCAAAGTCCCAGCCATTAAAGTTACCCTCTCAAAGACCAAAAAAACCAAACCTCTTATCATTGAGTTCATTCCAGTGAACTCCACAGAGTTTCTGAGATTATAAATCTTTACAGAAGCAGAATGCCTCATCTTTTTCCCACAGAGCAGCTGGTGGATTCCATATGATAAGCATTGGACTGCGACCAACAAAGTTGGAGGCAAGTCCAGCAGCCACTTCAGGGGAGAAAGATAAGGCTTTCTGCTCTGGAAAAGCTTTAAGGCCTCAGAAACCCTATGGTAGTTATGTGGTGGTCAGATGCCGTGGAGTAGGTTCAGACTCATAGGAATCCTGCATAGGGTTTCTGAGACTGTAAATCTTTACAGGAGCAGGAAGCCTTATCTTTCTCCCGTGGAACGACTGGTAGTTTCAAACTGCTGACCTTGAGGTTAGCAGCCTGATTCATAGCCACTGCATTACCAGAGCTCCTTCGGAAACCTTATTCAGGATTGTTAATGAGTCCCAATTTACTGATGGTTCTTACCTTTTCTAGTAAGCCACTAATTGTGAGTAGTCTGTGAGTTCTGTGTGGTCAATTGCAAAGGTGTGAGACAGGCAGTTAGTGTCAGAATTGGTGAAAAGGTTGAAGGGCAGGAGCATATCTGGCCTCCACTTCATATCGGAACCCACTCGACGGCATTTAACAACACAACTCTGGCACATAGACTAGTTATGAGTCGGAAACTGGTTTTCCAGACAAATCTTAAGGGAAATTGATCGTCAGGCCTTTCTTTGTGCTGGGTGGGTTCCAATCACCAACTTTAGGTCAGTAGTTGGGTGACTCTCTACCAGTGCAGACCCTTCAAGGAAGGTTTAAAATAGCGTAGTGGTTACGAATCGGGCTGCAAACCTTAAGGTCAGCGGTTCGAAACTACCAGCTGCTCCGCGGGAGAAAGATGAGGATTTCTACTCCCGTAAAGATTTACACCCT